CGCAAGTGCTTGCGTCGGAGCGGAGAACGGAAGGCCTAAGAGGGAGGGGGATGGAGGAGAAGAGGGGGGGAGGGGATGGAGGGCAAAGGCATACCGTTGGTGCGTAGCGGGAGGAGGCGAGGGGCAAAGAGTATAACGTGGCGGAGAAGGATTTAGACGGGAGGAGGAAGGATAACAGTGGAAAGAAGAGCGACACGGCTCAACGCGCTTCGGCGATATAAGGAGGCAGCACGGCGACGTACATAGCAGGCCACCGTCAGGGAGAGACGTATCCGATGCGGGACAGTGTCACGGGGGGCGCATCACTTATATCAGAGGAGAGGTGAGAAGGGAAACGACCCTAGATGAGTGGGGGGTAGAGTTGAAGCCTTGTTATCAGAGACTAAACATTTCTACCGTAAATCTACTCCCCATTTCCCCTTGAGAGGAGAAGGCAAAATTGATCATTAGCGCGCAGGCTCTCTTTAAATCCTCTACTCTATCTATCAACATCTGTGCCGAGATATCTCTCAATCTCCTATCTTTACTTTCTATCATCTCCATCTCTCTCGTCGTATGTACCCAATCTACAAATATACTCAAACACTTTTCCGCCTCCCCTGGTTGCGAATTTTCTCTTTACGAGTACACTTGACTTGCTAACATCTTTTCTCTCATATTACAATTCCTTGTATCCAGTTCACATCATATACTCAACATCTACTTTCACAATCTCTTCTACAGTCTAACCCATATTTGCGAGTCGATATGTATATATTAAAGAGAAAGTGGAAAATAAATATGGAGCTAGATGATGAAATCAATATATCGAAACAATAGCCACGTTGAGAAAAGATCCAGAAATAAATAGCAGAGTGATAAATGACAAAAGGACGTTATTACGAACAGATGACTCCGAGCAATTTTACGAGCAAAGCTCAAGAATTTACGAAAACTGATGAGAAACATTCGGAAACTGGGAGAATCTTACGCAAACTGACGAGAATCCCTACGAAAAAACTGGAAAACTTTCGTAAACTGGAGAATCTTTCGTAAACTGAAGAATGGCGTGACCATAGGAAACGAAAATCTGTTCGGAAACTAGAGTAAAGCTTTACGTAAAATAGGAGAATCTTACGAAGACGAGAATCTTACGAAAACTGGAAGAAAATCTTAACGACTGTGAAGAAATCTATACGAAAAACTGGAGAATCTTTCGTAAACTGGAGAATTTTACGAAAACTGAGAAATCTTACGAAAATTGAAAATTTTACGAAAAACTGGAGAATCTTACGAGTGTTGGAAAGTCTTACGAAAATTGGAGAACTTCTAACGAAACTGAGAGAATCTTACGAAAACTGAAAGAATCTTAACGAAAACTGGAGAATCTTACGAAAAACTGGAGAATCTTACGAAGTGTGGGAAGTCTAACGAACACTGGAGAATCTTAAAACTGGAAATCTTACGGAAAACTGGAGAAATTACGAAAAACTGAGAAATCTTACGAAAACTGGAGAATCTTACGAAACCTGGAGAATCTTACGTAAACTGGACTGGAGAATCTTGGAAGAATCTGGAGAATCTTACGAGAACTACGGAGAATCTTTCGTAAACTGGAGAATCTTAGCGAAACTGGAGAATCTTACGAAAAACTGGAGAATCTTTCGTAAACTGGAGAATCTTTACGAAACTTGGAGAATCTTACGAAAACTGGAGAATCTACGAAAACTGGAGAATCTTACGAACTGGAGAATCTTACGAAAACTGGAAGAATCTTTCGTAAAACTGGAGAATCTTACGAAACTGGAGAATCTTACGAAAACTGGAGAAAAACTGAAGGAGAATCTTACGAAAACTGGAGAATCTTAACGAAAACTGGAGAATCTTTCGTAAACTGAAGAATCTTACGAACTTCTTACGAAAACTGGAGATCTTATCTTACGAAAAACTGGAGAATCTTACGAAAACTCTTTAATCTTCTTACAAACTGGAGAATCTTACGAAAACTGGAGAATCTTAAACTGGAGAATCTATAGAATCTTACGAAGAGAGAAATCTTACGAAAAGAAATCTTACGAAAATTGAGAATCTTACGAAAATCAAGCTCTCTCCCTAAAAATAAATAAATAAATATAAATCAAATAAAAATCAGAAAATTCGGATCCTTCAAAGACGTAAAAAAAACTTTAATAAAAAGATTTTTACAAATATGGCCAAGAAAACTGGAAGGAAGAAGCTAATATTAGACAGAAGAAGAATTAAAAGAAGACGAAAAAAAAGATAAAGAAGAAAGAAGACGAAGAAAAGGAAGAAGAAGAAAAAGAAAGATGACGAAGAAGAAAAAAAAAGAAAAGAAGAAAGAAGAAGAAGAAAAAGAAGAAGAAGAAGAGAAGAAGAAGAAGAAGAAGAAGAAGAAAAAAAAGACGAAGAAAAAGAAGAAAATAAACCAAAAACATAAATAAAGACGGACAGAGACAGGGCTTGGTAGAAGCTGCTTAAATATGCATGACGAACTAGAGCACAGACTTGTTGCCCGCGACGCAGTACTGGGGCACCAACCTTGGCTTCACCATTCTTGGCTTCACTATTCTTGGCTTTCCAACCTTGGCTTCACCATTCTATTCTTGGCTTCACTATTCTTGGCACCACTATCCTTCACCCCGACCATTCCACTAGTTTGTCTCACTATCACTGGCTCACCATCTTTGCTTCATCACTCAATACGATAATATTTTTTTTATTCACTATCATCGGGTCACCATCCTTGCTTCATCGTCACTGGTTCCCTTCGTTCTTGCTTCACCAGTGGTTCACTGTCACCATCCTCACTATCCCCAAGTCGACGTAATAAGGTTGTCTTTTCCCCGCACTATCCTTACACTATACAACCTCTCTGTCAATCACCCTCATATTCTTCGTACATGAATAAACAACAAATCAACAAACATAACAAATAGAAAACAAGTAAACATCCCTAAAAAACAAACATCACCATACTCATCACCATCACCACCACACCATACCCCCCACCATCACCATCACTACCACTTCCGTTCATCACCATCATCACCATCACCATACCCGCCGCCATCACCATCACTATCATCATCACCACCACACCATACCGCCGCCATCACCATACCCATCACTATCACCACCATCGCCATCCACGCACCACAGGCTCCTCCTCGTTAACATCGTCCACATGTTCAGCGGAGAATGGGGAGGAGGGGGAAGGGAGGTAGTAAAGAGAGGGGAGGGAGAGGGGAGAGGGAGGGAGAGGGAGAGGGAGAGGGAGGGAGAGGAGAGAGAGAGAGGGAGAAGAGAGAGAGAGAGAGAGAGAGAGGAGAGAGAGAGAGAGAGAGAGAGAGAGAGAGAGAGAGAGAGAGGAGAGAGAGAGAGAGAAGAGAGAGAGAGAGAGAAAGAGACAGAGACAGACAGACAGAGACAGAGAATTAAGAAAAAAAGGCAGAGAGAGGGGGAGACGGGGCAGAGAGAGAGATGGACACGGGACAGGGAGAGAGAGAGGGAGAGGGAGACGGAGCAGGGAGAGACGGGGGAGAGAGGGAGAGGGGACAGGGAGAGGGGAGACGGGAAGAGAGAGGGAGAGGGAGGGACACAGGACAGGGAGAGGGGGAGAGGGAGGGAGGGAGAGGGACACAGGGAGAGAGAGAGAGAGAGAGAGGGGAGACGGGGAGGGAGAGGGAGGGCGAGGGAGGGGAGAGCCCTGCATGTAAGCAAGCAGGTTGAACACCTTGAGCGTTCACCCATTATCAGGCGAAGCGAGGGTGTCCGGGGAGGCATAAATCACCCAATACCAAACCACAATAACAATTTACAATTCTCCCGGCAGCGTGGGCGTGCGGGCGCGTAAATCACTATAATTCGCCGATAAATAAATTATTCATCTGTCTCCTCTTACCCGCCAAGATCGAGAGAAAAATATTTAAACAAAAATAAATTAAAAGGAAGATATAATAAAAAACAATAAAAGATAACAAAAAAGCAAAAAAAAAAAAAAAAAAAAAAAAAATTCTTCCCAAAGGTAACAAAAATAACAATAAAATATAAACAAAATAGAATAACTAGAAAAAAAGAAGAAATAATTAAACTAAATAAAATCTCTTCCTTCCTAAAGTTTACAAAAAATAATCTAAAAGATAAACAAAATAAATACAAACACATAAAAAGGGAGTAACTAAATAAAAAGAAAAAAATAAAAAATAAAAAAGAAATAATAAAATCAAATAAAACCTCTTTCCTCCTAAAGTTCACACACACAAAAAAAAATAATAAAAAAAAAAATAGACAAAACAAATTCAAATAAATCACATAAAAAGGGGTAAAAAACAGACGGATACCTTGCGGGTAGATGTAGCGGTAGATGTAGATTAGAGAGGTAGAGAGGCAGGAAGTAGATAAGAACTTTCTTTAATGTAGCCACTTACAGCTCCGGATGGGCACCTTTCTACCCTTATTTGGGCATCATAATTTTACCTTTCGCTGGGTTGGTTCATTCATAAAGGTGGCCGTTAGTGTGGCCGTTCGTTCGCTCTCCGGTTCTCTCGCTCTCGCTCTTTCTCTCGCACTCTCACTCTCACCCTTTCTTATACTCTCACTCTCACTTTCACTCTCACTCTCACCTCCTCCTCACTTTCTCTCCTCTTTCCCTTCATCTTCTCTCACCCCTCTCCCTTTCCCTTCCCCTTCCCTTTCCCCTCATCACCTCACACCCACTCACTCCCGCTTCCTCCCTCTCTCTCTCCTCATCTGCGTTTCTCCCTCTCCCTCTCACTTATAAAAATCATTTCGCTCTCATCCTCCCCAACCCTTCCTCCTCTCACACATCCCGAAGCAAACTACACCACAAACACGACGACAAACAAACAACACACTCACAACCCTTCGTCTAGCCCTCCTCCCTGCCCCCCCTCCCCCTCCTGCCCCCGGCTCCGTCCCCCTCCCCCCTGACAAACAAACACAGGCAAAAAAAAGAAGAAAAAAAAAATATATATGATCCC